CCAGCTCAGTGTTTCTTTATAGAAACTAATAATTTTGGACACCAGAATGCGCAGTTTTGGCCACTGCGACGTTGACTTGTATAACGCGAAAGTCTGAGGTGAAAATCTTTTTAGAGGTGCCCGCTCCAGCCAGAGTCCTTCATAAGAAGGAGACCATTGCGCACGCTTTCTTTTGAATTTCTCAGTTACTAAAAACGCGTTCTGCGCAATTCGCAAAAGTTTGCTACCTTTTTTTGCTACCTACCTTTTCCTTTTTTTAAGTCTCCTTGCATGTGTAGTAACTGTCGGTATGAACTTTTAAACAAAGCCGTAAATAATGATGTATGGTCGCAAGCTCGCACAACGAAGATACAAAAAAATAGAATGAGTGGAATTAAGCAGATAATCTGCACTGCAGAACTTAGAAAGTATTTTTGATTATACATCCGGTGCTAACGAAATAAACCCAGATTGTTCGTTATGTTCTACTGAATGAATGAAAAGAAATGAGTCTCACCTACTAATATCGCACCCATAGTGATGAATATTGTAGCCAATATATAGGCCTGTAAAGAGAAGCATTAGAACAAAAAAAGGGGTGTACGGAACCTTTCTGACAAGTTTATTAGATAGTAGCTAAAGTACGAGCTTTTCAGAAAAAAAGTTTGACAGCTCAAAAAAATTTGATTTTATCGTTGTAATCCAATCTTGGTCGTGTATGTCCCTTATTAGCTCTCCTCAAATAACACCTTCTGAGCTAGGAAATCTCTAGTAGGATCTTGACGTTTTCGACTGCTTACTTCAATGAATTAATTTCTCCCACCTGAAATATCGTGACAACACCACTTCCAACGGATGTTCCATACGTATTCGAGACGTCATTTGCTCCTAAACCGGCTGCCAAAAAGAAAGCCACTATAACGCCAACGATCAGCACCCATAACACAGAGGACTGAAAATCTTTGTAAATGATTGAGGACAAGGGGCGATTGCTGCTTTCCCTTTCACTCTTTTAGTGATGCCCAAGATATTCATCGAATTCCAAAAGAAAAAATGTTTAATCAGCACAGCTTTGTTCAAATTTTAGACACACTTTTATGTGGACATAATTAATGCACGAGATCTAGTGTACCGATAAAGTTTGTTATTGATGTACAACCTATCAAAACTCACGCGGTCGAGAGGAACAACAGTGGAGGTAGACAGGGTTGATGTAATCGTTGTCGCTATGTCCATCTGCAACTAAATTTATGAGAAAAGTTCATACCGAAGAAAAGCACCTCCGAGACGCGCCGAAATAATTAATGAAATGCTTAGTTCTAACCAAGTATATTATGAAGAAGACATGGTTCATGGGACACTATACATAGCTTGCAATGGCTCAGCATAACTCAAAGATAAACAGTCAAACAGGCAGAATAATTCCATGATTAAAATTGGTTCAGCTGCGGAGCACTAAAAAATTGAAACCATTTTAGAGGGCGTGGCTAAGGCTAACACTATGGAGAAACGAGCACATTTTCTTGAACCTTATAAAGTCTCAA